GGCGTGGTGATGGCGCCTTGGCGAAGTGGCGGCTGCGTGCTCCAGTGCCAGTGGCCTCAAAATGCTAGAGCGCGATGCAAGAGGCGGCGAATGCCTTGAATGCATGGTGGTTGAATCGCCGGATTTGGCATCAGGTCTTGTGGAGCCTGACCATCGCAGCAGGGATGGAGGCCGCATTGGTGTTGTGCGTGTGCGCATTGATGTTTTGGCCCGTACTATCGATTCGTGATGGGACCACCAGTTGTTGATTGCGTAGCCTGCTTTGCGGTGTAGCAATGTAAGCAGACAAGTTGCTGGCAGGAGATTGCTGTTCGCGATGAAAACCAGAACAAGGAACCGGAGACCAGCAAGCATTCTCTGCAGCATAGCGCTTGGCTTGGTGTGAAACTGCGTGCTCCAGGTACCCGCTACGCGCTGCGCGCGACAGCCTCGTGCTGCCTCTTCTGCGCAGGTCCAGCTGTCTCCTCTACAGCAAAGGGAATCGCACGGTGGTGGCCTGGTGCCAAAGTAGCTGCATATCAGTGGCTGGGATCCTCTACACACCACATTCAACCCAAGCATTTACAGTGTGCACCGACTGCACACGTTGTTGATGGGGTGCGTAGTGCGTATGTGCAAAGGATTTAGATGGAAATCAACACAGCAACCTGCCGTGCTGTCCTCGGTCGCAAATCACGCTGGCAGGCCGTCTGCCTTCCGCGCAGCCTGTGCAGCCGCCACCACGCTGCGGATGTCCTGGTGCGTGCGCCGCCCGTCCACCAGCAGGTGGCGCCCAAACCGCAGTGCGCGGCGCTCACAGGCTGTGCGTGCCTCGTCGTCGCTGATGGTGTCCATGTCCGCCGTGTGTGCGATGCCCACCAGGCGCCGGATGATGACGGCGCCCGCCATGGACACCACGTCGCCAAACAGCTCCGACATGAACGCGGACTGCTGCGCCGCGAGTGCCTCGGGGCCGCCAGGCACGTCTGGCCCCACCAGCTCGCGCGCCACCAGGTCGCCCGCAGGGCCCTCGCCGTTGGCGCGCTGCGTCCACAGCTCCAGGAAGCTGTGATTGGCAGAGGAGAGAGGGGTGAGGAGGCAGGTAGGAACTCTGGCGGACAGCACTGCGGCACGCTAGCACAGCTGGGGGGTCTGCAGTCCAACAGCACCCAGTGCTTGGCTGGGATAAACACGCACGCTTCTTGCCTCCCACCACCTGCAAGACGCCATGCCCCCTGTGCCATCCGCGCCCTTTCTCCCCACCCAGCGCCAGCCTCCCTTCAGCTCACCCCGTGCTGAAGCCCTCCCAGATGTCCACGATGCTCTGCAGCAGCCACTCCCGCTGCGGCCCCCTGTCGCTGACGCCGCCCTGGGCCTGCGCCCCCAGGCCGTCGCTGGCGAAGAAGGGGATGAGCAGCTCCCCCAGGATCTTGGCCGGGTCGAAGCTCAGGGGCCCCGCGTACAGGAACTCGGGGTCGATCACGACACTGGACTCGGGGGTCACCAGGATGGACCCCGTGTGGAGGTCACCGTGAACCAGCGCCTCCGCGCGCGTGGCAAAGCGGGCCTTGAGGGCCGCGGCGGCGGCCTTTGCGGCGCTGTCCGCGCGGAGGGCCCTTACGTCCGGCTCCAGCAGCGGTGTCCAGCGGTTGATGGGTGCTGCGTGGTAGGGGTCCGTGAAGACCACCTGCTCCGTGAGGGCGCACAGGTCCGGGTTGTTGAACTTGACCACCTGGTC